AAAAGTCACTTTTTCCATTTTTTTGAATTTGCTTTAGTATGGGAGGACTTTTTCCTAAAGACGTATCTATGGTGACTGCAACTATCTATCTATGGCTGACTGCAAACTTTACCTTCCAGGCTCAAGCAATCCTTCTACCTCAGCCTCCAAAGTAGCTGGGACCACAGGCATACACCACCTGGCTAATTTTTGTATTTTTTGTAGAGACTGGATTTCACCATGTTTCCCAGGCTGGTCTGGAACTCCAGAGCTCAAGTAATCTCCCTGCCTTGGCCTCCCAAAGTGCTAGGATTACAGGCATGAGCAACCACACCAGGCCAGGTAGGGCATTTTAAAATTTAATTTAATTTTTTAATTTTTTTGAGACGGAATCTCACTCTGTTACCCAGGGTGGAGTGCACTGGTGGGCTCTCGGCTCACTGTGAGAGGTGACAACGTGCTAGTAGCCCTCGCTCTCCGCGTCTGCTCGGTCTCCGCGTCCACTCTGGTGGCGCTCCAGGAGCCCTTCAGCCCGCCACTGCACTGTGGGAGCCACTCTCTGGGCTGGCCGAGGCCGGAGGCGGCTCCCGCTGCTTGCCCGGAGGTGCGGAGGGAGAGGCGCGGGAGGGAACTGGGGCTTCGCGCCCCGCTCGCGGGCCGGCGCGAGTTCCGGGTGGGCGCGGGCTCGGGCGCCGCCGCCCTGGACAGTGAGGGGCTTAGCACAAACGCCAGCAGCCGGGGAGGATGCGCCGGGTCCCCCAGCAGTGCCAGCCCGCCGGCGCTACGCTGGAATTCTCACTGGGCCTCAGCTGCCTCCCCCTGGGGCAAGGCTGGGGACCTGCAGCCCGCCATGCCCCAGCCTCCCCCCCGCCGCCCTGGGCTCCTGCACGGCCAGAGCCTCCCCTACGAGCGCCGCCCCCTGCACTGCAGCAACCGATCCCATCGACCACCCAAGGGCTGAGGAGTGCAGGTCTGCGGCGCCAGTACTGGCGACCAGCTCCGCCTGCAGCGGCGGTTTGGCATCCACTGGGCGAAGCCAGCTGGGCTCCTGGGTCTAGTGGGGACTTGGAGAACCTTTATGTCTCGCTAAGGGTTTGTAAATACACCAATCAGCACTCTGTGTCTAGCTCAGGGTTTGTAAATACACCAATCAGTACTCTGTGTCTAGCCAACCTAGTGGGGACTTGGAAAACTTCTCTGTCTAGCACTCTGTGTCTAGCTAAAGGATTGTAAACACACCAATCAGCACTCTGTGTCTAGCTCAGGGATTGTAAATATACCAATCAGTACTCTGTCAAAATGGACCAATCAGCTCTCTGTAAAACGGACCAATCAGTAGGATGTGGGTGGGGTCAGATAAGGGAATAAAAGCAGGCTGCCCAGGCTAGCCAGTGGGACGCCTTTGGGTCACTTTCCATAGTGTGGAAGCTTGGTTCTTTTGCACTTTACAGTAAATCCTGCTGCTACTCACTCTTTGGGTCCACGCCGCCATTGTGAGCTGTAATACCGCGAAGGTCTGCAGCTTCACTCCTGAAGCCAGCGAGACCACAAACCCACTAGGAAGAATGAACAACTCCAGACACGCCACCTTTAAAAGCTGTAAGACTCACCAGGAAGGTCTGCAGCTTAGCTCCTGAAGTCAGCAAGACCATGAACCCACCAGAAGGAAGAAACTGTGGACCCATCTGAACATCTGAAGGAACAAACTCCAGACACACTATCTTTAAGAACTGTAATACTCACCGTGAGGGTTCACGACTTCATTCTTGAAGTCAGCAAGAACAAGAACCCACCAATTCCAGACAACACTGCAACCTCTGCCACCCTGGTTCAAGGGATTTCCCTGCCTCAGCCCCCAGAGTAGCTGGGATTACAGGCACTTACCACCACACTTGGCTAATTTTTGTATTTTTAGTAGAGACGAGATTTCACCATGTTGGTCAGGCTGGTCTTGAACTCCTGACCTCAGGTGATCTGCCCGCCTCCCAAAGTGCTGGGATTGCAGGTGTGAGCCACTGCGCCTGGCCCAGGGTAGGGCACTTTAGTTTTTATTTTGGGTCCATGCAGCAGTGTAGTCGCCATATAACTTCTTCAGCTGTAAGCAGTTTCAGTGGTACCTGTGATTTGCTCAGTGGCTTAAAGCACTGTTGTTGGTGTAGACTGTGGTAGTTTTGCTAGAGATGGGGATTCCAGGTCAGCTAGCTCTTGGACCTTAGGGCCCAAGGGAATGGGAGTGGTGGGCCAAGCTTGCTTGTCAATGGGGCTCCTGGGATGTGGATATGCAGGAGTCATTGAGCCCCAGTGAAGGGGGAAGTATAGTAGGGTCTGGGCTCTCAAAATGGCACTGTGCTGCCATTTTGGACTTAGGACTCCGTGTGTGAGATTCAGTGTATGCCCTCTCTGTAGCAATGCCATCATGTGGTCTCCAGGCAGCTACTATGTTGGTCTTAGGGCCCGTGAGGGTTGAGAAAATTTCCCATGCTAGGATTGCAAGCAACCATTGTGGAAATGTGGACTGCTGGGGAATCTCTCACACACCCTTTCCTCACATTGGGGTGCTTCTCTGGGTTCTCAGCCCATCTCCAGTGGCTGAGCAGGCTACCTCACCTCCCTCTGCTTCCTTGCCTTAGGTGTTTTCTGTCACTTCTCTGTTGAATTATACGTTCTCTCTTAGATGATCTATTCAAAGTGTGATTATATACTTGCCATTTGCGGTTCTTCTTTGTGAATGAGGTATCAAATGCCTTTAGTCAGTCATTTTGAAGCCCACCCTCTAAACACAGGTTTTATATTCACTAGGAAATCAAAAATACTGTGTGATTTCCTTATGATGATTGATTGCTTTGTTGTGATAATGTAGAATGAAACCTGCACTATCTCCAAGGAACGCCTGTAATCTGTTCACTTTTTAAAATTTACTTTCTGTTCCTCACACTATATAATTCCAATTGACATTTATTTGATACTCCTCACAGAATGCACAAAGCATATTCTTCCTGCAACACTGCCTCAACAAAAAGGGAGTAGGAGCTTTAATCCTTCATCGGGATTTTATGTTTTTCTGATTTTTGTTAAATGTGAATTTTATCATGCTCAAGAATGTAGGTTTTATGACCAAAAAAAAAAATTTCCAGGGGTTTACTTTGGTTTTAAAACTGTTGTTTGAAGTTATAGTTTTTTTCTTAAGCTTTAAGCATAGATTACAAAACTAGGCCGGGCGCGGTGGCTCTCGCCTGTAATCCTAGCACTTTGGGAGGCCGAGGCGGGCAGATCACGAGGTCAGGAGATCGAGACCATCCTGGCTAACACTGTGAAACCCTGTCTCTACTAAAAATACAAAAAAATTAGCCAGGCTTGGTGGCGGGCGCCTGTAGTCCCAGCTACTCGGGAGGCTGAGGCAGGAGAATGGCGTAAACCCAGGAGGCAGAGCTTGCAGTGAGCAGAGATTGCCCCACTGCACTCCAGCCTGAGCAACGGAGCGAGACTCCATCTCAAAAATAATTTAAAAAAAGATTAATTTCGGGAGGACTGCCATCTTAACAATACTGAGTTTTCCCATCCTTGACCAAGGTGTATTTCTCCATTTCTTTTGTGTTATTTATTGTTATAATATGTTCCTTAACTTCTTCCAGCAATGTTTTATACTTTTCACTGTGCAGGTCTTTCATGTTTCATTAAATTTACCTAAGTATTTCACATTTTTTCTATCATTGTAAATGGAATTCTAATTCCATTTCCTAATTGGTCACTGTTAGTCAAAGCTGCATCATTTTATAAATCCCCAACCATTTCACAGACCCTGGTCAAGGCGAAACATTCTACAAGGTCTTGGACCATGAGAAACATTCTATCTAACCACCTGACTCCACAAACACCTTTATCAAATCCTGCCGGGCAGCAAGCCATACCACCCAGACCCCTTCCACCCAGACCTACAATTACCCTAGCCTGAAGGCAGCAGTGGGCTCCGACACTAAGCTGGTCCCCTCTCTGCAGGTTTTTGCTGGCAATAAACCTGTGTTTCTGTTGAGCCACTAACTCTCTCTTTAACCCTCACCTTTCCTTCAAAACCTAACTTTTTTCTATCATTATAAATGGAACTGTATTTCCAATTTCATTTCCTAATTGGTCACTGCTAGTATATAGAAATAAAATTGATTTTTGTAACCTCATATCCTATGACCTTGCTAAATTCCTTTATTAAGGTTCTAGTTGTTTTTTTGTTTTTTTAAACGGAAAAAGAAGTCTCATTCTGTCACCCAGGCTACAGTGCAGTGGTGTGATCTCGGCTCACTGCAATCTCCGCCTCCCTGGTTCAAGCGATTCTCCTGCCTCAGCCTCCCAAGTAGCTGGGATTACAGACGTGCATCACCACGCCCAGCTAATTTTTGTATTTTTAGCAGAGATGGGGTTTCACCATGTTGGCCAGGCTGGTCTTGAACACCCAACCTCAGGTGATCCACCCGCCTCAGCCTCCCAAAGTGCTGGGATTATGGGCGTGAGCCACCGTGCCCAGCCTCTAGTTACACGTATGAGCCCTCACACCCCTTTTTTGGAGACAGGGTCTCACCCTGTTGCCCAGGCTGGAGTGCAGTGCTGTGATCATAACTCACTGCAACCTCAAACTCTGGTCTCAAGTGATCCTCCTGCCTCAGAGCCTCTTAAGTAGCTAGGACTATAGGTACGCACCACTACACCTAATGGTTAAACTTTCTGTAGACACAGGGTCTCGCTATGTTGCCCAGGCTGGTCTTGAACTCAATCAGTCCTCCTCCCTCAGCCTCCCAAGTCGTTGGGATTATAAGCATGAGCCAACACACCAGACCTTGGTATGAGCTTTTGAAGAAAAAAGAAATTCCATCACTGAGGAGATTATTTTCCTAATTTTAAAAGTAAGATATATTATTTCAGGAGGCTTTGGAAAGAACTGAAAAGTGTAAAAATAGAAAAGGAAACACCAATTTTCCCAATATATAGGCTACTATTAATATTTTGACAAATTTCCTTAGTTTCGGGCAACATTCATTTTTTACAATACATTTATTTTGACATATTTGAGCTTATTCCATATTAACAAGTATTTATCATGCTTTCGTTGTAACACACAATAGCATTTTTCCTGTTACCAAACTTTCTGCGTACATATTTTAATGCCTGCATAATATTCTATTACACAGTTATGCCACAGATATTATGCTAGTGCACATTTTTTCATTTTGCGAATTATGCAGTCATAAATATTTCAGTGATCCTCATACATATTTCTGTCTTCATTACAAGTTAGATCCTTAAGGTGTTAACAATAGTAATATTATTAATAGCACCTAAGTGCCAGGCACTCTTTTATGTGATTCATACATATCATCTAATCCACATGACAACACTTTGAGGTAGATACTAGTAGTATCCTCATTATACAGTTGAGGAAATTGAGCCACAGGTTATTAGAAATGTTCAAAGTCCCAGTTAAGTGACTATTCTCCCTTCATGAAAACCATTTCTGATAGGCATGTTATATGTTGGCACGGTATGTACACAGTGAGAAGAGCAGCAGGAAACACGGAACCCAGGACCTAGTTCTGAGTCTGACTTCACGGAAAATATGAGACCTGGGCCAACTCACTTGATCTCAATGACAAGTATGAGCTAGAGGCTGTCATGTTCCTTGTAGTTCTCAAGTCTCCTGATTCTAACCACCATTTCTAGGTTTTTCCTGAGAGAGAGATCAAGATCTCTGGTTGGCTTCAGCAATACTTCACCTATCATTCAACAATCAATCATTAAGCATCTAATATTTCTGCTAGGAAATGCAGAATCATGGTCAGTCCCTATATACAACAGATTGATTTATAGAATGAAACAGAAAATTAAAACAGATCCTCTTCCTGAATCTTTTGTGGGTTACTAACTTACCAGAGAATCTGAAGACTGTGATCCTCTCCCTAGAATGGAAAACCTTTGTGCAAACAGAATAAATGTGTATACAACATTACAAGTTGTTTATTGATCCTCAGGAATGAAACCTACATCAACTATTTGTCAGTGATTTTCCCAGGTTGTTGAGTTCTGATTTAGGCAAAAGGGGAAAACCATGTATGACAGTGAGAACTCAGTAAATTTTTATAAGCACACAAGCAGATTTCAATTAAATAACAGACATTAGGGTGGGGCAATAATATTAATAATCACAGCCAGTAACTACAGAGAACATAATATATGTCAGGCACTATTCTAAGCTGTTTCTGTTTACTCATTTAATACTCACCATAATCCTACTAGGTAAGTACTATTATTATCACTAATTTACAGAGGAGGATATCAGTAAGTTTGGCACAGAGAAGCTAAGCAGCATGTTCAAGATCACCCAGTTAGTGGGGTTTCAACCTGGGTAGTCTAGCTCAAGTCTATGCTCTTAAATACTAATCTTTCTTTATAAAGATAAAAGACTACCTTGAGACGGAGGGCATCTTTAGGCCGTGCTCTGTTTATCACACGAGGACACTTGCTCTAAATATTGTTTAAATACTTGTTCCCACTAAAATTGGGACCCCTCCCTGATATGTCCAAATACCCAGTGTTCCCCTAAGTCCTAACATCCAGAGAATTACTGTGTTTTTAAATTATCAGGAGCTTTTGCAATGCTAAAAAGAGTGGAAAAAGTGGAACTCTGTGACCCAAAACAATTTAGAATAGGAAAGCTCATTAACAGGTGGTACTCAAAAGCTTCTTTGATGGTAGAATACAGAAACTAGATATCCTCTTACAATATTTAAAAGTTTAATTATTACAGCAACATTAAACAGACTATAAAACTCAAAGTCCCATTATCTAACAAATCAATTCTCTTCAATTATCTATATACTTCCAATTCTTGCCCACATGCAAATATACTTAAAAATGGGTTAGTACTGGTAGTGGAGATGTGTTGTTTTTAATTGTACTACATTATAAGCATTTTCCTTGCTGTTAACCAAAATACGGTTTCTACCAGACACAGAAAACATACCAAACACTACTAAATGTCCCAGAAGAGAGACAAAGTCAAGTAAACAATGACATATTGACTGAAATATTATTTTCCATCTTTTGTTGCATTAACTGTATCATTTCTTAATTCTCAGCAACAACTCTCCCTACAGTAGCATACTCATTTCTTTTCAAATGAAGGGGTTCTTGCTCAACAACTCACCTATTTAATAATTCCTTCTCAGATTCTAGCATTTAAGACTTGGTCAAGAATGCTCCCAGGCCAATTACTTCTGTAGGAATTTATGAAAAGAAGAAAATCTGATGGATTTGTGTACTGAAATAAAATCTGTGGTTTCTTTCCCTTCTAGGACCAATTATCTAATGTGCAAAATGATAGTAACAAGACTGAAAGCATTTCCACATAGATTCAATTTGTACAGCATATATCCAGGAGTTCTCCAATGCAAAATAAAGTTATTGCTCTTTGTGAAAAATTCCCGTATTTATTAGTAAGCATTTTCCCTCATATGATTTGCCTGGTATCCAATAAGGTTAGAGGTATTAACAAGCACTGTCCCACACTGATGGCATGTTAAGAACTGCTCTCCAGTGTGAGCTATCTGATGAACTATAAATGGAGAGTTCTGGCTGAAGATAATGCCACACTGATTACATTTATAGGTCTCTTCTCCAATATGAATTCTCTGATGCTTAATGAGGTCATTCTTCCGGATGAAGGCCTTCCCACACTGACAGCATTCATATGGTTTCTCTCCAGTGTGTATCCTCTGATGCACAATAAGGGCAGAACTCTGGCTGAAAGATTTTCCACAATCATGACACTCATATGGTTTCTCTCCAGTGTGGGTTCTTTGATGTGAATAAAGGTGAGAGCTTCGACTAAAACATTTTCCACAATCCTTACACTCAAAAGGTTTTAGTCCAGTGTGAATTCTATGATGCACAACAAGGTGAGATCTCTGGCTATAAGACTTTCCACATTCATTGCATTCATAGGGTCTCACTCTAACATGGGTTCTCTGATGCAGAATGAGATGTGTGCTCTGTCTGAAAGACTTCCCACATTCAGGACATTCATAGGGTTTCTCTCCAGTGTGTGTCCTCTGGTGTCTAATAAGCCTAGAGCTATGAACAAAAGACTTCCCACACTGATTACATGTGTACAGTTTGTCTCCTGTATGAGTTCTCTGATGGGTAACAAGGTGAGAGAACCAGCTGAAAGATTTACCACATTCTTTACATTCATAGGGTTCCTCGCCAGTATGGGTCTTTTGATGTCCAGTGAGGTGAGAACTCCGGCTGAAAGATTTTCCACATTCTTTACACTCATAGGGTTTTTCTCCAGTATGAATAAGCTGATGCCTAGTAAGATTAGAGCGCCAGCTGAAGAGTTTTCCACACTCCTTACATTCATAGGGTTTCTCTCTATGTATGCCCTTTGATACACCAAGAGATGAATCATGAGTAAGAGAGTTATCATTATCAGGGCATTTGTAGGATTTATCACCTGTGTGAGTTCTTGCAAACTGAATAAGGTGAATGTTTTGACAGAAGGTTTGACCACATTCATTACTGTTACTTGCACAGCTTTCCTGATGACCATTAAGAACTAAATCATGTTTTAAACTTTTAGTATGTGAGTCACGTTTATGGAAATACTCTCTCAGTACCAGCTGAGCAGGAAGAAGACAGTTTCCCCCATATTTACCACTTTCAGAGACTCTCTTCTGAGTAAGTACTTTCTTTTGGGTGAATGCCACTTGCCTCAAATGTCTCTCTGGGTTTTCCTGATACTTGTCTAACTGGTCTTTACATTTCCAGACTTCTTCTAATGACAAATACCAGAGATCATTCCTTGCCATTCCTTCCATTTTAATGTCACAGGATTGCTTATCTTTAAAAACGCTCCTGCTGGAAACTGATGATTTGATTTCAAATGCAGTCTCTGAATCTGAAAGAAATGAAAATCTTCATGTAACTAAAGACAGTATTAAAGTGAGAATGTTAGGAAGTATATGGAGACAAAGTCTGCAAGATGTACACAGTTGCTTTCAAATATGGCTTTATAACTTTGATAGAGAATGAGAAAAGGAAGAATGGAGCAGTAAACAGTAAATGCATTGGGGTATACAGTACTCAAAAGGGGCAAAAGGAGTAAGGAGAAGCCACAGGACTCAGGATATCAATGGTGAGGGTAGAAATAAGGGAAATTACATAAAAAGGACTGCACTTCCATTTCCTAATCCAGAAGTTAACAATGCAAGTTCCTCACCTGTCTACTTGTCAGGACTTTCCCCTGACACACATTCTTCACATTACTATCAATTTAGTATCTTTTTTTTTTTTTTGAGACACAGTTTCGCTCTTGTTGTCCAGGCTGGAGTGCAATGGCGCGATCTCGGCTCAATGCAACCTCTGCCTCTCAGGTTCAAATGATTCTCCTGCCTCAGCTTCCCAAGTAGCTGGGATTACAGGTGCCTGCCACCATGCCTGGCTAATTTTTTATCTTTTTAGTAGAGACAGGGTTTCACCATGTTGGCCAGGCTAGTCTTGAACTCTTGACTTCAGGTGATCCACCCACCTTGGCCTCCCAAAGTGCTGGGATTATAGGCGTGAGCCACTGCATCCGGCCCCATTTAGTATTCTTAAACCATGAATACAGACATACATCAGGCAATGCTTTTTATCTAAATCACAGAAGCACTACAGAACAACACCCAGATGACTGACACAACAGACCTGTCAGAGAGGTTGCATGACAAGGTGGAAGAGTAACTGCACAAAAGTTACCAAGATACAAGTTCTAATCTAAGTTTTATACTATTACTAGTGGTGAATTTAGACAAGTTGCTAAACTTTTAAGAATTCATTTTGCTTATCTGTAATTTAAGGATGACAGTATCTGCTATTTCAGATTATCATATTATATAAAGCATGAGCCTATTACAGTCTCTGGCACATTTATGGTCAAAGCAGTAAGATTTACAATAATCATTATCATTCTTCTCATTTTCTGTTTTGATTTCTTTGTTCTGAAACATAAGGACTTAACAACCGATAGGACTACTACCACAAGATGTGAACTTAGAATCTGAGGCCTGACCCATACTCTCTTAGAATTTCTGCCATCTGCTACCTGTGTATATTACTGCAAATTATTTCCCTTGAATAAGAGCTTTATCTGTTTCTCAGTGTCTTTCAGGTAAAATGTATAATCCCAAACCTAAAAATTACACTGATAATACCACTTCATCTTACATGAATGGGGTGACATTGATAATACCACTTCATCTTACATGATGGGGTGACATTCCACTCTTACCTAGTATTATGGGTTAAACTGTATCCCCCCCAAAGAGGTATGTTGAAGTTTTAATCCTCAGATTCTCAAAATATGACCATATTTGGAAATACAGTCTTTCCAAATGTAATAAGTTATGAGGTAGTACCAGAAATAGGATGGGCCCCTAATCCAATATGGTGGTCCTCATTAAAAGAGACACACAGACACAGGGGAAGAGACCATGTGAATATGGAGACCAACACTGGAATGATATATCCGCAAGCCAAGGAATACCTGGGGCTAGCAGAACCTGGAAGAGATAAGGAAAGACACTCTCCTAGAAGCATAACAGACCCCACTGACATCTTCATTTTAGACTTACAGCCTCCAGCTGTAACATGATACATTTTGGTTGTTCTGAGCCACCTAACTTCTGGTTCTTTGCTACCGCAGCCCCAGGAAACTAATACACCTGGTAAATGATCCCTCTGCCAGGCCTGGTCCCTAAATGACTTCCTTATACAATCCCACCCCCACCAGTCCTCACTGTCACTTAGCACTTTGTTAGTTCCTAGTTTTCTTTCCCATCCTGATGATTTTTAATAGGAAATACACCACCCTTTCCCCCTCTTTCCACAATCCAGAACATCATAAACTCTTGTGGAGAAGTTTTTCAAACTACAAATGCCAACTGGAAGATTTTATGAAGAATATGTATAAGCGGGGTGCTGAGCACTAATGGAGGACAATTCTGAGTGGAGAGTTTGATCATAAGAATGAGGTGCTTTATTAATATCCTAAAATCTTCCACATATTATGTAACATAGCCATGCCAGTAAGTTATTGCTGAAGTTTATTGGACCCATTAATCAACTAATCATCTGATTTTTAAAAATTATCACACATTATATTTTTTGTTTTGATAATGAATTTCACAGCCTTGTAGATTCTGTAAAACTCCATGCATTTAAGCCCATGAAGTCTGAGTATTTCTTTTTTTTTTTTTTTTGAGGCAGAGTCTCTCTCTGTCGCCCAGGCTGGAGTGCAGTGGCGCGATCTCAGTTCACTGCAAGCTCCGCCTCCTGGGTTCATGCCATTCTCCTGCCTCTGCCTCCCGAGTAGCTGGCACTACAGGCGCCCGTCACTACGCCCAGCTAATTTTTTTTGTACATTTAGCAGAGATGGGGTTTCACAGTGTTAGCCAGGATGGTCTCGATCTCCTGACCTCATAATCCGCCCGCCTTTTCTCAGTAAAAATATAAACTGCTGGATCCAGTTAATAATTGTTATTTTTGGATACTTGTCAATAGACATTTAGGAGAGCTTACTAGATGAACAAATAGAAAAGAAAGAAAGAAGGTAAGTATTAAAGAAAATATAACAATATTTCCTCCCATGGTCCCAAGGCAGTTGAAAGACTTGCTTTGAGACAGCATTTTGATATAATCAGCTACAAGGCAAATACTAAAAAGTAAAAAAGAGCTTATGATAATATTTTAAAGTAGAGATTTAAACTAAGTGGAAGTTCAGAAGAGGAAGAGGCCAGTACTTAACGAGGAATCATAAAAGGCTTCATGGGAAAGAACTTGAGGCTACATTACAGGACAAGTAAGACTTAGATTTAATTTACATCACACTCAAAGTCTGAGATGCAGGGAAATGCCTAGAAATAGATTTTTAAAACATTAAATACAGAACTAGATAGAGGCTGGGCATGGTAGCTCACGCCTGTAATCCCAGCACTTTGGAAAGCCGAGGTGGGCGGATCACTTGAGGTCAGGAGTTCGAGACCAGCCTGGCCAACATGGTGAAACCCCATCTCTACTAAAAACATAAAAACTAGCTGGGCATGGTGGTGCATGCCTGTAATCCCACTACTTGGGAGGCTGAGGCGGGAGAATCACTTGAACCTGGGAGGCAGAGGTTGCAGTGAGCTGAGATCACGCCACTGCACTCTAGTCTGGGAGACTGAGAGAAACTACACCTCAAAAAAAAAATAAAAGATCTAAAGTACAGTAAGAAAAACCGGTGTTTCTATGAGCAGCCATTCTGGAAAGGAAGGAGAGTTGAGGCAACAGGAATTATGAGCTTTCTGCAGCAGTTTTCTACCTGACAGAAAACACACTCTCAGAATAGGTGGTAAGAGTCCTACTCCGGAGCTTGCACAGATAACTGAGTTGTGGGAAGGGGTCACGTGAAAGAAAGAGAGGCAAAAATGCAAGAAGTGATTCTATGACAAACAAGAGCACAAGAAGATAGGTTAGTGGTAATAACGGTAATAATCAGGAGAGCGACATGTGCGGCGCTGAAACCAAGCACGTCAACAGACGGAGAGACCTTTGCCTCTCAATGCAAATGGAATATAAAGATTGGCAGTGGGGAAATAGGGGCCAGATAAACTCACTCTTCCCATGAAGAAGGACCTGTGAGGAGGGCCAGTTACCACTATCTCTAGAAGTGCTAGCATCTCACAGCTCATCTGGGCTACTGCCTATGACAACTCTTGTCTGGTCCTCACCAGGATGGGCCTCTTGGTGAATCCCTCTCTCCACCAGCCAGGGCTCTTCTCCCTTCTCCAACCGTAGGATCACATCTGGCTTAGTAAGCTGATAACCTGTTCACAGTGAAAGACAACAGGGTAAGAGTCAGGGGAGCTCTGGGGCAGGCACAAAGAAACATCTCAGATTCAACCTGACCCCCCAACCCTCTGCAGGACTGGCAGGGACTCTAAAGTTGACAGAGGCAGGAAAACCTTTTTTATTTTATTTATTTATTTATTTAGAGACGGAGTCTCACTGTATTGCCAGGCTGGAGTGCAGTGGTACAATCTTGGCTCACTGCAACCTCTGCTTCCCAGGTTCAAGTGATTCTCCCGCCTCAGCCTGCCAAGTAGCTGGGACTACAGGCACGCGCGACCACGCCCAGCTAATTTTTGTATTTTTAGTAGAGACGGGGTTTCACCATGTTGGTCAGGATGGTCTCAATCTCTTGACCTTGTGATCCACTCACCTCGGCCTCTCAAAGTGCTGGGATTACAGGCGTGAGCCACCACGCCCAGCCGGAAAACTTTTTAAAGAGGCATTTTTTAAAGAGGCATTTTTAAAACTTCAATACATTAAAACAAGTTTTCCACAAAAGCTGGAGTAAAAAAACCCTGTTCTATGCCTCAAAGAAATGAGGTCTCTGAACGCCAAGCCTGTACTCTGATAAGATATATACTTCAAGGTCTCGTACCTTTTGATCAAAGGAGAACCAAAATCTTCAAAAACAGAGCTAGTCTTACCCAAGGAAACCAAGTTCTTATAGTTCTCCAGCATCACATTTCTGTACACGATCTGCTGAGCAGTGTCCAGCAGCTTCCACTCCTCCCTGGTGAAGTCCACAAATACATCCTTGAAGGTCACCAGTGTCTACAACATCAAACACATTTGCATTGCACCAGATATGTATCTTTGCTATCCCCCTTTCCTGACTGCTAACAGGAAAAGAAATTAAGCTGACAGCACTGGGGCAGGTAAAGTGGATGGACCCCAATTTATTCAAGGAGTGAGTACTATTTATTCTGGTCAGGTCATAAAAGGAATGGCTATTAGGTACCTACTGTCTGAAAACAAGTTTTATATGATGCTTTAGGTTAAAAAAAACTGTCCTAAGAATTTTTATTTAAATTAAATTTTAAACAGCTATGGCAGGGTGAATCATCTATTCTCCCAAAAAGTTAACCCACTTTTACACTATGTAAGATAAAAAACCTAATTCGAGTACACCTTAATGCTTAAGAGATTTACCACCCTAGCCATATTTTATAACCTAAAATAATTATCCTAAACATTTTTCATGACCATTGGTAGGTACTAAAAAACAATGGAAGAGTTGGAAGATTATATTTTAGCAGTAGCAAAACAATTAGACAAAGAAACAGGAGATAGATGCAAGGTCCTTATCAGCCACATCAAAAATAAGTGTTGATTATATCTAGAGAAAAATCTATTTGAGTGACTGAGGGTCTCCCATCAAAGACTATAAAGGTCAGAAGACAGTGGAATAATGTTTGTCTGTTTTTAAATACTGAAAGAACAGACAAACCAGAATTTCTATATCCAGTGAAAATATCTTTCAAAACTGATGCAAAATAAAGATATTCTCAAACGAACTAAAACTAACAGAATTTGTTGGCAGAAGATCTGCTCTAGAAAATGTGCTGAAGGAAGTTCTTCAGGCAGAAGGGAAATGATACCAGAGAGAAACTTGAAATCTCAGAAATGGAAGATAAATAACAAAAACAGTAGATATCTGGGTAAATATAATAGATTTGTTTTCTTCTCTTAAATGTTTCAAAAATATATAGAACAGCTGAAAGACCTGTAATATTTTCTGGTGCAGTTTCTCAATACACACACAACTTTAACATAAAGGGAGGGACATAAAGGGACCTATATATTGTAAGGCTTCTAGATTTTGCTTGAAGTGGTAAAAATTAACTCTAAGTGGACTGTAAAAGATTAGGTATGTATATTCTCATTCCTACAGCAGCCATTAAAAAGTACAAAAATATAAAGCTAAAAAACCAAGACATTAAGTGAAATACTAAAATATATTCAAATAATCCAAATAAAGGCAGTAAATTAAGAAGTGGGAAAAGATATACAGAGAACATATAATAAAATAACACACTGAAATTCAATAGTATCAATAATAACATTAAACAAAAATGGTCTAAACATAACAATTAAAAAACAGGTCGCCAAAATGTATTAAGAAAAAAAAAAAGCAACCGGGTGCAGTGGCTCACACTTGTAATCCCAGCACTCTGGAAGGCTGAGGCAGGTGGATCACTTGAGTTCATGAGCTCAGGACAAGCTTAGCAAAATGACAAAACCCTGTCTGTACAAAAAATACAAAAATCAGCCAGGCATGGTGGCATGTGCCTGTAGTTTCCGCTACTCGAGAGGCTAAGGTGAGAGGATCACTTGAACCCAGGAGGCAGAGGTTGCAGTGGGCTGTGATCACACCACTGTACTCTAGCTTGTGCAACAGAGTGAGAACCTGTCTCAAAAAAAAAAAAAAAAAAAAAAAAAAAAAGGCAACAGCAAAAACTACAAGCCTTGAGCCCAGGAGTTTCAGACCAGCCTGGACAACATAGGGAGATCCTATGTCTACAAAAAATTTAAAAAGTAGCCAGATGTGGTGGCTCAAGCCTATAGTCCCAGGTACTAGGAAGACAGGTGGGAGGATCACTTGAGTCCAGGAGTTTGAGCCAGACTACAGTGAGCTGTGATAACACCACTGCACTCCAGCCTAGACAACGAGACCCTGCCTCAAAACAAACAAACAAACAAAAAAACCACAAGCCTCGACTATCTGCTACCTAAAAAAAAACATTGGACCGGGCGCTGTGGCTCACACCTGTAATCCCAGAACTTTGGGAGGCCAAGGCGGGTGGATCACCTAAGGTCATGGGTTCGAGACCAGCCTGACCAATGTGGAGAAACCCTGTCTCTACTAAAAATACAAAATTAGCTGGGTGTGGTGGCACATGCCTGTAATACCAGCTACTTGGGAGGCTGAGGCAGGAGAATCACTTGAACACAGGAGGTGGAGGTTGCAGTGAGCTGAGATACCGCCATTGCACTCCAGCCTGGGGAACGAGAGTGAAACTCTGTCTCAAAAAAAAAAAAAAAAAAAAACCAAAAACCGAGTGCAGTGGCTCAAGCCTGTAATCCCAGCACTTTGGGAGGCCGAGACGGGCGGATCACGAGGTCAGGAGATCGAGACCATCCTGGCTAACACGGTGAAACCCCGTCTCTACTAAAAATACAAAAAAATTAGCCGGGCGAGGTGGCGGCCCCTGTAGTCCCAGCTACTCGGGAGGCTGAGGCAGGAGAATGGCGTGAACCCGGGAGGCGGAGCTTGCAGTGAGCTGAGATCCGGCCACTGCACTCCAGCCTGGGCAACAGAGCGAGACTCCGTCTCAAAAAAAAAAAAAAAAAACACAATATTGAATACAACCTAGAGAAGTTACAAGTAAAAGGACAGAAACAGATATACTATGGAAACACTAATCATACGAAAGTTAGAGTGGCTGTATTAATATCAGACAACATAGAATTAACAACAAAGAATATTAGCAGAGATAAAGAGGGATATTACATACTGATAAATGTGTCAATCTGCAAAAAAATTTCAAATCCTAAATAGATCAAAATGTGACACATAAATTCATAAAATTTCTATAAGAAAACATAGGAAAAAACATCTGTCATTTTGAGTTCTTCAGGGGGTTCTTAGCAGTGATACCAACAGCATGATCCATAAAAGAACAAACTGATAGGCCAGGCGCGGTGGCTCACGCCTGTAATCCCAGCACTCTGGGAGGCCGAGGCAGGAGGATCACCTAAGGTCAGGAGTTCAAGACTAGCCTGGCTAACACGGTGAAACACCATCTCTACTAAATATACAAAAATTAGCTGGGCATGGTGGTGCATGCAAGTAATCCCAGTTACTTGGGAGGCTGAGGCATGAGAATCGCTTGAACCCTGAAGGCAGAGGTTGCAGTGAGCTGAGATTGCACCACTGCACTCCAGCCTAGGCGAGAGAATGAGACTCTGTCTCAAAAAAAAAAAAAAAAAAAAAAAAAAAGAACAAATTGAAAATTGACAAAGTGAGCGCTTCACCAAAACTAAAAATGTTTTTTCTCTTCAAAAGACATTGCTAAGAGAAGGAAAAGACAAGCCAGAGACCAGGAAATAATATTTGCAAATCACATTATCTGACAAAGAACTTGTACGTGTAAGGTACAGAGAACCCTCAAAACTCAATAAGAGGCTAGGCACAGTGGTTCATGTCTGTAATCCCAGCACTTTGGGAGTCCGAGACAGGCCTCGGGAATGCCTCGGGATGGCCCGAGTTCAGGAGTTTGAGACCAGCCTGGGCAACACAGTGAAACCCCGTCTCTACTAAAATACAAAAAAAAAAAAAGAAAAAAATTAGCCAGGTGTGGTGGTGTGCGCCTGCAGTCCCAGCTACTCGGCACGCTGAGGCAGAACTGCTCGAACCCAAGAGGCAGAGGTTGCAGTGAGCTGAGATCGTGCCACTGTACTCTACTCCAGCCTGGGCTACAGAGCAAGACTCCATCTCAAAAAAAAAAAAAAAAAGCAACTCAGTAAGAAAACAGACTAGTTTGAAAACTGAGCAAAAGACTGAAATAAACATTTCACCAAAGAAGAATATAGGTAGTTGGTAATAAATAAGCACATGAGCCGGGCGTGGTGGCTCAAGCCTGTAATCCCAGCACTTTGGGAGGCCGAGGCGGGCGGATCACGAGGTCAGGAGATCGAGACCATCCTGGCTAACACAGTGAAACCCCGTCTCTACTAAAAAATACAAAAAAAACTAGCCGGGCGAGGTGGCGGGCGCCTGTAGTCCCAGCTACTCGGGAGGCTGAGGCAGGAGAATGGCGTAAAACCAGGAGGCGGAGTTTGCAGTGAGCTGAGATCCGGCCACTGCACTCCAGCCTGGGTGACAGAGCAAGACTCCGTCTCAAAAAAAAAAAAAAAAAAACCACATGATGCTTAGTGTCATTACTTATTAGGGAAATGAAAGTTAAAACGACAGTGAGATACCGTAAAGACACTTATTAGAAAGGGTAAACTTTTAAAGTGTGTGACACCAAGTGCTGGTGAGGATGCAGAATAACTGCCACTCTCACACATCACTGTGAGAATGCGAAAATGCTACAACCACTTTGGAAAATTTGCATATTTTTCATAAAGTTAAATCTATACTCTTGGCACACACCTATCATTCTCTTGGCTAAGTACCTGAGTGTGAAAATTTATGTCCACACAAAAACCTGTATGCAAATGCATAAACCTGAGAAAGGGCTTTATCTAAAATTGGCAAAAACTGGAAGAAACTCAAATGTCCCTTAACACGAAATGCATAAACAAAGCGTCGTACAGCCACACAATGCAAATCTACTCAGCAATAAAAAGGAATATCCGACTGACTCATGCGACAACAGATGAACCTCCGATACATTTTGCTTCATGAAAGGAGCTAGAGGCCACATGCTATGTGATCCCATTTATATGACATTCTGGAAAAAGTAAAAATCAATAGATCAGTGGTCAAGGGGCTGGAGGGGGAGTAAGCATGGACTATATACAAAGGGGTTGCACATAGGGAATTCTAGGATCATGGGTTTGCCCTGTAACTTGGTGGGTTTTTTTGTTGTTTGTTTTGTTTTTTTTTGAGATGGAGTTTCACTCTTTCACCCAGGCTGGAGTGCAATGGTGTAATCTTGGCTCATTGCAACCTCCATTCCTCCGGTTCAAGCGATTCTGCTGCCTCAGCCTCCCAGGCAGCTGGGTTTATAGGTGCCGGCCACCACGCCCAGCTAATTTTTGTATTTTTAGTAGAGACGGGGTTCCACCATGTTGGCCAGGCTGGTCTCGAACTCCTGACCTCAGGTGATCCACCCTCCCCCTCAGCCTCCTGAAGTGTTGGGATTACAGGCATGAGCCACTGCGCCCGGCCTGCTCTGTATCTTGAATGAAGTGGTAGCTACACGACTATATACGTTTGTCAAAAATCACAGAACTGTAAATCCAAAGGGGGAAACGTTACTGTATGTAAATTGAAACATAAATAAAAATATTTAAAATGGAATGTTCTATGAGATCTGTATGCTGGATATCTTCTCTCCTTCCCTCCAGGTTTCCTCTCCACCCTACTCTGTTCCCAGGGAGGGCGAGCTGTGTGGATTATACCAAAGATTTCTCTTGCCCTCTGCCTTTCTGATTTATTTCACCAATGGAGATCACCAGTTGGATATGGCAAGCTGCCCCAGTGCAGTGGTGGTGACGTGATGGAGGTACATTCCCTTGACAGATGGGAACAGCCTCTGTGAACCACAAGTCTGGTTTCCAGAACCTGTCCCTGTTCTCATCCCTTCAGGCCTAATGGTGATGACACTCTGCTCCCACCTCATTCTCGTATTACTGAAGTTAAGTGTGCCTGCTACTTTCCGCTAGTCCTTGACTCATTCATTGCTGTTCATGGTTTCAAAGAAGCCTGCCCAGTTTTAACTTAAGTGGCTATCTGATTTCTGGTCTGGTGGTTTTAGCATTCCCATAAGAAATACACTGCACTTTTACTGTAAACACAGAGACAAAGCATGTCATGGTGACACTACTAAAAGGAAAGGTGCATGAGATGTTAGTTAATAACTGGATTTGAAATCAGGCGAACCCGTGGTCAAATCTGTACATCTTAAATTTTTTTTTTTTTTGGCGGGGAGCAGCGCAGGGGACAGAGTTTTGCTCTAACATCTGGGCTGGAGTGCAGTGGCATGATTTTGGCTCACTGCAACCTCCGCCTCCCGGGTTCAAGCAATTCTCCTGCCTCAGCCTCCTGAGTAGCTAGGACTACACCACTACACGTCTGGCTTATTTTTGTATTTTTTAGTAAAGACAGGGTTTTACCATGTTGGCCGTGCTGGTCTCAAACTCCTGACTTCAGGTGATCTGCGCACCTCGGCCTCCCAAAGTGCTGGGATTACAGGTATGAGCCACCTCACCTGGTCTGCACACTTTAAATTTTGGATTGGATGATGTTTGTTTATTTAACCTCACCACGAGTCAGTTCTCTTAGCTGTAAAATACCATCTGTCTCATAGTATTATACACACTAACACACAGTACAATACAGTGTTAAAGAAGACAGAGACGAGAAGTGCCATCCGCTGTAGTCCAGCATATACAGACATGCTAAGAAGGTATATAGACTAAGTATGCTTTCATTCCTCCTAATACTTTTGAAATCTCGTGTGCTTCCTGTTCTTTGCTGGAAGTAAGCATTATCCTGAATTGTGTTGTTTATTGTTTTTTAAATGCCTTTATTTCAATTGTAAATGAATAACTGTTTGGCCAGGTGGGGTAGCTCACACCTTTAATCCCAGAGCTTTGGGAGGCCAAGACAGGAGATTGAGATTGGCTAACACAGTGAAACCCTGTCTACTAAAAATACAAAAAATTAGCCAGGCATGGTGGCACATGCCTGCAGTCCCAGCTACTTGGGAGGCTGAGGCAGGAGAATCACTTGAACCTGGGAGGTGGAGGTTGCAGTGAGCTGAGATCGCACCACTGGACTCCAGCCTGGGTGACAGAGCGAGACTCTGTCTCAAAAAAAATAAAAAAATAAAAAATAACTGTTTGCAAATACCTGTTTTTGAATTTTTGATCAGCACAAATTGCTGATCTTTTTCTTGTATTAGCCTTAGCCTCCAGTCCATTTTAAATATAACACTCATCTCATTCTATTCTGTCATATTTTCTACTACTATTCTACTATTTTTATTTTGTATATATTTGAAAATTTCTATAATAAAAGAAGAGAGGGAAAGACCAAAGCCCACAGTGATGTCTTCTTCCTAACTCACCGTTTAGTCAATAGAGCAGCATGTTACAGTTGAGTCATGTTCTCATTCCTGCAAAACCATCTTTCCCTATACTGTACACATTGGTTTTCATTTTAACTCGCAGAAGACTCTGGCTCAGCCTCCTTCACAAGCTCATCAGCTCAACCAGCCTCATCAGTTATCTCTTGGTATTTGTTTCAGTTCTTGTTGGCCTTGTTATCACTGTGTATCCTTCTGTGAGGAGTCTCATTAGCCCCATGCAAACATATCTGTGTTGCAGTCAGTGCCAAACAGGCCTAGAAGGCCCACACTGCCCATATTCCCCTCTTGGTTCTGTGTTTGGGCTGCACTAAACTGCTTTTACCTCTTCAAACAGGCCATGCTCTCTCAAAAGTCTGGGCCTTCACAAACGCAGCTCTCTCATATTTCTTTGGACAATCACAAGTCATCCTTAATGTGTTGGCATAAATGTCATTTCAGCAAGTTTTCTTCTGAACCTTTAAATTATTTAAATATCCTCATGTTAAATGCATATGCCAAACACCTGCCCAGAGCACTCCAATGTGGGGCTGAGCCCTCCAGACAGGCCAGGGAACCTCGGCTCCAGTCTCACCTTCCTTCCCCAGATTACCTGTCAAGGTCTGCGTGAAGGACCCTCCAGAGGAAGAAGCTGAATAGGCACCAGAACCAGTCTCTCAGCCTGGATGTCCCCAGGCCACACTGCTCACTGAGGTTCTGTTCTCCTCAGAGTTCTTTGCACCTTGTTTGCAGTTATCCTTTGATAACTATGTAACTTGTCCCTGAGTTCCTCCAAATGGGTTCCCCACGGAGGAATTAACACAGTAAGCACCACACCCAGGACAGTCAGGCCTGAGAGAAACCACAGAGACACATCAACATTCCCAGTTCTCTCTTCTTTTTGAGAAGAAGTCTGATGTCACCTCACTTGATTCCCACCAATGTTACTGTTAAACTTGCGTTGTGTTTCTTTTGTATTAAAAGGAAATAAAACTACAACTACAAATAAAGTAAACAAAAACCTAATCCTCGTCTGCTGGAGAAGAAGATATAATTTCTGAAGTTCTCTGGCAAAGGGACTAAAACAAAAAGGAATTCCCAGTTGGAAACTGGGGAGAAAGCACAGCTTACCTGGGACCAGGCAGTTAGTGACTTAGCATGCATGTCCTCCTTGTTCTTGATGATACTTCCTTGAGTGATAGCAGAGTGCTAAGAAGACAAAGCTAGGAAAAAGAAAGAAACATAAGTTAAGTTTGCTATGACTGGGAGGCTCCCTAAATTGACAGCCTAAACTTCCTCATACCAGCTGGGTATGACACAAACACCCACTATACACAGGAACATCAGAGACATTCTATAAGCAAATCTACAGTGCCCGAAGCTCCCTAAGATTAGGAAGAGAAGAGCTACATAAATTGCATTTTTACCCCTTAATCTCTGGAGTTCCATACCACATTTGAAGATTTAAAACTGAATGATCCTACTTACCATTACAAATTTTTTTTTGAGGGGAAAAAAACCAAACCTGACCTAAACTAACAGTCTCACTTTACAGATTAAAAAAACAAGGTTGTCTCCAGCTGGTCACAGAACGGAAGCCAGAGATTGAAGCCCAAGAAAAATGTGATGGACCATTACCGGCTTGAAGATGGAAGGTGCAGTGTGAGGAACATGGCAGTCTCCAGCAGCAAAGAGCAGCACCAGCTGAAAGCCAGCTAGGAAGCAGGGACCTCAGTCCTGCAGCCACAAGGAACTGAATTCCACCAAGAAGAGTGAGCTTGAAAGTGAATTTTTCCCCACAGCTTCCAGATGAGAACTCAAGTCTAGGTGACAGACCCTGATTTCAGCCTTTGGACACCCTGAGCAGAGAACCCAGCCATGCTGTGCTTGCACCGCTTCTAACCAACAGAGCTGATAATAAGGAAGTGCTGTTTGAAGCTGCCAAGTTTGTGGTAATATGCTACACAGCAACAGAAAACTAATATAGCCAATTACATTTTAAAAACAATTTAAACATTAAGGAAAAATATTGTATATTTACCTATGTAGTCACCATTTGCCAGTGCTGTTTACTCGTGTGTGTAGATCCAGATTTCCATTTGGTTTCATTTCCTTTCTCTCTGAAGCACATTCTTTAACGTTTCTTGTAACAAGGGTCTCCTGGTGATAAATTCTTTCAGCTTTTTTATAGCTAACAATGTCTTTTTGGTGCCTTTTTTTTTTTTTTAACAGCCATATGGTACAATTCAACCATTTAAACTGTGTATTCAATGGGTTTTGGTATATTATATAATTCTTAAAATTGTAGTAACATATATATATATATATATATGGGTTTTTTTTTTTTTTTTTTTTTGCCATTTTAACTGTTTTTAAATATCCAATTCAGTGTCATTAATTACATTCACAGTGTGGTGCAACCATCACCACTATGTAATTCCAAAACTTTTCCATCACTCCAGAAACTCTGGTATCCACTGATAACTCCATATTCTCCCCTATTCCTCTGGAAGCCCCTAATCTACGTTCTGTCTCTACGAATTTGCCTACTCTACTTAGGTCACATAAGTGGAATTATACAATATTTGCCCTTTTGAGTCTGGCTTATTTCACTGAGTATACATTTTTCAAGGTTCGTCTATGTTTTAACATGTATCAGAACCTCAGTCTTTTTTAATAACCAAATATTCCATTGGTTAGAGACTACATTTTGTTACCCACTCATCTGTTGATGAACACTTGCGTTGTTTCCATCTTTTGCTTATTATGAATAATACTGCCATGAACACTGGCATACAAGTATCTGTTTGAGTTCCTACATTCAATTCCTTTGGGTATACACCTAGGACTGAAACAGCTGGGTCATATGGTTTTATGTTTAACTTTTTGAGGAATCACCAAACTGTTTTCTATAGTGGCTGCATCATTTTTACATTCACACCAGGAATATATATGCATATTCTAATTTCTCTACATCCTTGCCAAATACTTGTTACTCTACTTTTTTAAATTACAGCCATGGTAGTTGGGATAACTGTAGCTTTTACATTTCCCTAATGACTAATGATGTTGAGCATATTTTCACGTGCTTACTAACCATTTGTATATCTTCTTTACAGAAATGTCAAGTCCTTTGCCCACGTTTACAATTGGGTTGTTGTGTATTGTTGAGTTGTAGGCATTCTTTGTATATTCTAGATATTAAACTCTTATCAGAGACATGATTTGCAAATAGTTTCTCCCACTGTTTTTGAGATGGGGTCTCACTCTTTCACCCAGGCTGGAGTACAGTGGCACGCTCTTGGTTCACTGCAACCTCCACCTCCCAGGTAATTCTTGTGCCTCAGCCTGTAGCTGGGATTACAGGCATGCAAAGCTAATTTTTTGTATTTTTTAGTAGAGACGGGGGTTCACCATGTTGGCCAAGCTGGTCTTGAACTCCTGACTTTAGGTGATTCGCCTGCCTCGGCCTCCCAAAGTGCTGGGATTACAGGCGTTGAGCCACCGCACCTGGCCTGTTTCTCCCACTCTATAGGTTGAGTTACTTTTGTTGTTGAAAGACGTTTTTTCCTGAACGTGTAATTCTATTTAATAGGTAGACAGTTGTTTTTTTCTTTCAGTACTTTATAGATACAGTTCCACTCTTCTTAGACGTCTTATTTCTGGTAAGAAATCCAACGTAATCCCTTATTCCTCTGTATATAGCATGTATTTTCCTTCTGGCTACTTTTGAGATTTTCTCTTTTATTGATTTGAGTAATCTGATTATTATTTTCCTTGGCATACTTTTCATGTTTCTGGTGTTTAGGGTTTCTTGAGCTTCTTGAATTTGCGGGTTTGTAGTTTCATTAAGTTTTGACATTTCCAGTCATTATTTCTTCATATATTTCTCCATCTCTCCTTTACTTTCTTCTTCAGGGACTCCAATTACTCATACAGTAGCTACCTGATGCTATCTACAGCTTACTCAAGTTCTTTTCATTTTTTTTCTGGTTTCTTTTTTCTCTCTGCATTTAATTTTGGATAGTTTTACATTGCTATGCCTTTAAGTTCACCCAACTTTTCTTCTAGAAATGTAATCTGCTGTTAACCTGGTGTATTTTCATTTCAGACAATATGGGTTTTCTCCCTAGAATCTCAATTTTTTAAAATACTTTCTATTGCTGTATTTACCTTCTTAGCAATATGAAATACATTTATAACTATGTTTTACTGTCCTCCTCTGCTAATAGTAAGATCTATGTTAAGTCTAGATGAGTTTCAAATCATTATTATCGTCTTCACTATGGCCATGTTTTCATCTCTTTGCATGCTTGGTGAATTTGATTGGATGCCAGATACTGTGAATGTTATCGTACTGGATGCTGGGTATTTTTGTATTACTATAAATTTCCTTAAGCTTTCTTTTAGGATGCAGTTAGGTTACTTGGAAACAGTTTGATCCTTTTGGGTCTTTCTTTTACAATTTGCTAGATAGATTGAGCAGTGCCTAGTATAGGGCTAATTATCCCCCACACTGAAGCAAGACGTTCTTGATAGATACTGATCGGGTAGACACGACCTATCCAACGCTCCAGGAATTGGAAGAGTTTTCCAGTCTGGCTGGTGGGAATAGATGCTCTTCTCAGCCCTATGTGAACAACAGATACTGTTCCCAATAATCCTTTAGAGGACTCTTTCCCTGGCTCAAGTAGTTTCCTCACACGTATGTACTGATCTGTATTCTGCTGAATACTTGAGGGAGAACCTTTGCAGATCTCCAGAATTCTCCTGCTGTAAGATGCTCTCTTACAGAGGCCATATTGCTTTTACTTTTTTTTTTTTTTTGAGATGGAGTCTCGCTCTGTGGCCCAGGCTGGAGTGCAGTGGCCGGATCTCAGCTCACTGCAAGCTCCGCCTCCCGGGTCCACGCCATTCTCCTGCCTCAGCCTCCTGAGTACCTGGGACTACAGGCGCCCGCCACCTCGCCCGGCTAGTTTTTTTGTATTTTTTAGTAGAGACGGGGTTTCACCATGTTAGCCAGGATGGTCTTGATCTCCTGACCTCGTGATCCACCCGTTTTGGCCTCCCAAAGTGCTGGGATTACAGGCTTGAGCCACCGCGCCCGGCCTAAAATGCAATGTTTTATAAACTTCTGCTTCCGGCCGAGATGGAACACGAGAGAACAGAATTAACCTCTTCACCCAACAGCAAAACAGACAAAATATATTAAACAGTGGTTTTCAAGACCAAGAGGGATAAAATAGTATTGACCTCATAGGGTTACTGTGGGAATTAAATAAGTTAGTATTTGTAAAACATAGAATGGTGCCTGACACGTGGTAAGATTAAAAAAAAAAAAAAAGACGTCTAGTGACCCAGTAACACAAGTGTCTTTCTTTTCTTTTTTTCAAAATCGAGGCCTCATTCTTGTCACCCAGGCCCGAGTGTGGTGGCATGATCATAGCTTACCACAGCCTCAAACTCTTGGGCTCAAGTGATCCTCCCTCCTCAGCCTCCCAAGTACACAGAACTACAGGTGTGAGCCACTGCACCTGGCTTTTTTTTTTTTTTTTTTTTGAGACAGGGTCCTTACTCTGTCATCCAAGCTGGAATACAGTGGCACAAACACAGCTCACTGCAGTCTTGACCTCCTGGGCTCAAGTGATCCTCCTGCCTCAGCCTCCTGAGTATCTGGGACCACAGGCACATGCCATCACGTCCAGCTAATCTTTAAATTTTTGTAGAGACAGGATCTCACTATGTTGCCCAGGCTGCTTTCAAAGTCTTGGGTTCAAGCAATCCTCCTGCCTTGGCCTCCCAAAGTGCTGGGATTACAGGTGTGAGTCACCATGCCCAGCCTGGCTAATTAAAAAAATTTCTTTTGCGGCCGGGCGTGGTGGCTCAAGCCTGTAATCCCAGCACTTTGGGAGGCCGAGACGGGTGGATCACAAGGTCAGGAGATCGAGACCATCCTGGCTAACACGGTGAAACCCCGTCTCTACTAAAAAAAAAAAATACAAAAAACTAGCCGGGCGAGGTGGCGGGCGCCTGTAGTCCCAGCTACTCGGACGCTGAGGCAGGAGAATGGCGTGAACCCGGGAGGCGGAGCTTGCAGTGAGCGGAGATCCGGCCACTGCACTCCAGCCTGGGCAACAGAGCGAGCCTCCGTCTCAAAAAAAATTTCTTTTGCAGAGATAGGGGTCTCATTATGTTGTCCAGGCTAGTCTAGAACTCCTAGCCTCAACTAGTCCTCGTGCCTTGGCCTCCTAAACTGCTGGGCCTCTCAAAGTGCTCAAAGTACAGATGTAAGCCACTGTGCCCAACCAGCAAGTATCTTTCTAGAGTTTCTTTTTAACATCCAATCAGTCACCACGATCTGTAAATTCCCCCTCTTAAGTGTCTTCCATCCATCTCTTCCAACTCCTACTGCCATGGCCCTGTTTCAGGCCCTCATAATTCTTGACCTAGAAACCTCCTACTTGACTTGTTTGCCTTTGGTCTCTCACACTCCAGTGAGTGTCTGCAGCAACATCATCTCTGTAAAACACAGAAGTTTCACTCCCTGTTTAAAATTCCCTTTTGGTCTCCCAGTACATATAGAAAAATGCACTAAGTCCTTGGCATGGATTTAGGATCCTCTGTGATTGTGGCTTTTCTACCTCCCTAAGCCCTAAATGTTTCATCAAACTACCATACATTTCCCTATAACCATGCTGAACCACTTGAGTTGCCTGAACACCTTTATCTATGCTATTCCTATGCCAGATCCGTTCTTCCTTTTCTTGTCTCTTGGTAAAACCTTATCTATGTTGCAAGATCAAACATTATCCCTTCTTATGTCATTACCTAATTTCTCCAAGGAGTTTTAGTGTTTCTTACTCTTTGCTCCTACAGCCACCAAAAGCAGCAGCAACAATGACTGAATTACAGTACAGCAAGAGAGATCCACAATTAGCTGACCAAAGGGTCATGTCCTTATGAAGAGAGGTCTCTGACATCAGCTACAGGTCTCTGTCCTTACCCTGTTTTTAATCCTTTCACCAGCAATATAAGTAAAGATCAGTTACAAATTTTTTTTTTTTTTTTTTGAGATGGAGTCTCGCTGTGTTACCCAGGCTGGAGTGCAGTGGCGTGATCTTGGCTCACTGCAAGCTCCGCCTCCCGGGTTTAAGCCATTCTCCTGCCTCAGCCTCCGAGTAGCTGGGACTATAGGCACACATCACCACGCCCGGCTAATTTTTTTTTTTGTATTTTTAGTAGAGACGGGGTTTCATCATGTTAGCCAGGATGGTCTCGATCTCCTGACCTCGTGATCCGCCCACCTCGGCCTCCCAAAGTGCTGGGTTTACAGGCTTGAGCCACCGCACCCGGCCTACAAATTTTAGCTGACAATGAAGGCAATGACATACTATTTAAGGAAATTAAGATATACAAGTGGATGCTATATATACTTTGTATGGATGTTATCACAGGAGTACAAGGTTCCTTTTAAGAAGTCAGATAAAGAGGTGAATGAACCCAGATGGTTCCTTTATTCATCCCTTTTTACACCAGACATTAACTGAGTACTTACAATATGCCAAGTACCATTCTAGGGGCTAAGAATAGAGTAGTGGCCATTCAGACATGGGTCCTTCCCTCATAGAGCTTGCTTTTCAAGATAAGCAAAGGCTGAAGTAACTGGAAATACTCAGCCTGAAAAAAATTACTTAAAGGAAGCAAGAAAATAATTTTCACACACTTGTACATCCTCTGCTCGGAATAATATTTGTTCTGAGTTGTTGCACAGGGCAGGATTAGGACATATGTGTGGAATCACAAAGAA